GGGTTCGCTCCCACAACCTGGGATCTTGACCTGAGCCGAAATCCAGAATCAGGCAGGCAACCAACTGAGCCACTCAGGTGCCCCAAGTTTTCATTTGAATTCCAGTTAATTAACATACAGTGTTATGTTAATTTTACTTGTACAATACAGTGATTCTCATTTTGTTATTTTTAATTAAGCAGACCCATGTGTAGGTCTTTGTGGGTCGCATATTATACTTGATTTTCTCACTTAAACTTTTTGTCACTTAATAATATATTATGGAGTTCACTCTGTAGCACTATACGGAGATATTCCCCAGTTCTTTTTCCAGTCGCTCCGCACCACTCCATGGTGTGAGTCTATCACAACACATTCAACCAGTTTTTTATTAATCAGTGTTTGGGTGGTTTCTAGTCTTTTGTAAATATAAATAGTGATGTAGCCTTGTGCCTATGTCTTTTCTTTCTTTGGCTAGCTTGCCCTGTGGTTGGTTCCCAGAAGTGGGATTTCTGCGTTAAGTGGTAAATTCATCTGTAATTTAGCTAACTATTGCCATATTCCACTTCTTAGTGGTTAATCATTTTACATTGTCAACAGCAGGATATCAGGATGCTTTTATGTCAACAGCAAATTAAATTAAGTATATATGCTGTTATTCTTTTGGATTTCTGCCAGTCCGATAGGAGTGAAATGGTTCGGTATAATTTTTATTTTCACTTTTCTTTTTAAAGGGTGAGCTTGATTTTATAAGGTTTAGTTAGTGCCATTAGTGTTTCTCTTCCTGTGAGTTTTCTCTTCTCAGTTCTTGTCCATATTTCATGGGGCAGTTGCTTTTTTCCTTTTAAGCAGCTCATTATATAGGGATATTAACCCTTTCTTTGTCACCTAAGTTGTGAATACTTACCTCTGAGTTGTCATTTTTGTTTACTTTTGATTTTGTTTTTAACTTTATTTAACTCTGCAGAGGGTTTTCTTTGCTTGTTTTTTAATTTTTTTGGTCAAATTTGTTATTTTAATTGCATCAGGATTTTTAGTCACGGTTAGGAAAATGTTATTCTTTCTTAAGTTATTGGGGAACTCACCCATGTTTTCTTCTATACCTTACGGAGTCTTTTACATTAACCTTGACCAATCCGTTTGCAGTTTTCTTGATGTATAGATGAGAAAGGATCCCATTTATCTTTCTTATCCTATTAAGTTATCTTATCACTGTCTAAGAAAATTTTTTTTACCGTTTATTTATTTTTTGAGAGACAGAGACAGAGGGTGAGTGGGGGGAAGGGCAGAGAGAGAGGGAGACACAGAATCTGAAACAGGCTCCAGGCCCTGAGCCATCCGCACAGAGCCCCATGCAGGGCTCGAACTCACAAACCGTGAGATCATGACCTGAGCTGAAGTTGGTCACTCGCCAACTGAGCCACTCAGGTGCTCCAAGTTATCTTATCAGTGTTAATGAAAGGTTCTTTTTCCTACTCTATGATATTGTCTTTATCATTTACTAAATTCCAGATGCATTTGAGTCTCTTTCCATTGATCCCTTTTTTTATTTATGTGTCTTGTACCACGTTATTTTAATTATGGCAGCTTTATGTTTATATCTGGTACTGTCTGGTAGATTAATTCCTCCTCATTGCTCTTTTCTCATGTTTTTCTTGGCCTACTTTGCTTTTCTTCCAATTAAATATATAACCAACTTGTTTTATGCCCACTTAGAAGCTTGATGGTATTTTTTTGAGACTGCATTAAATTGCCCTATTAATGTTACGAATCAAAATCTTTTTGATGCTAAGATTTCTTATGTGAGAACATGGGCTAGCTTTCAGTTTCTTCTAATAGCTTTTTAAAGGAGTGTTTTCACAGCTTTCTTTATGTAGGTTTTGTTCATTTTTTGTTATGACTTCATGTCTAAGTATTTTACTTCAGCTTTTATATTTTCAAAGTTAAAAAGATAGAAGCATTTTCCCCACATACTTTCTTTGTCTGTGATATCCCTATTTGTACCCAAAGTGTCCTTTAAACTTTAGTGGGTTTAGGATCCAGTTAAAGATCATACCCTTATATTCTTTCATATGATAGATTTTTATTTTTTAAGTCCTGGTCACATGTCTTGCTGAGTAGTTATTCTTGAACTTAATGCTTTAGAATCATCTGAAACTCTTCGAATATTCCTGGACCCAGACTATGCTTCATACCAGTTAAGTCCGAAGGTCTGGGGATGATGCCTGGCTGTGGGCAGCCATGTCGAGAAGCAGGTCTGTGGAGTGCCCCCCCATGTCTGGTTCGACGGATCTGTTTTTCCTCATGATTAGAGTCAGATTGTGTATTTTTATTAGGCTCATTTATTGTATACTTGTAAGGTATGACTGTACCATTATTAATAATACCACCAAATACCCCACTCGAAAAGTAGAGTTTTCTTGTCTCCTTTTGTAAACTCATAATCTGTCACAGGACACTTGGAGACTGTGTGAATGTTCTTATTCCCAATAGCCTTTCACTCAGTGGTTGATGGTGTGGGTTGAGCATTTTTCTCATGTTGATTGGCCATGGATCTTTTCTTTTGTGAAGTCACTGTGTTAGGTCCTTTTCCCATTTTTCCATTAGTTCATGTTGTTCCTTACTGATTTTAGGAGCATTTTATATATTTTGGATATAATCCCTGTATCATTTCAAGATGTTGCTAAAATTTCCTGTTCTCTGGTTTGCTTTTTTAAAAAATTATTTCCTTTTGATTAATAGAAGTTCTTAACTTTACTGTCCTCCTATTAATTTCACTCTTTTTCTTTATGGTTAGTGTTTTTGGTGTCTTGCTTAAATTTTTTTTGCTTGTCTACAGATTGTGAAGATAGTTTTTTGTGTAATATTCTGGAAGTTTTACTGATCGCATTTCAACCTACAGTCCATCTGGAATTGATTTTCACACATTATGTGAGATTGAAATCAAATTTTTTTTTTCAGTGTCCTTTTCTCACTGCTTTATTAGTAACACCTTTTTTTCTTTTTTTTAATAAACCAGGTGTCCATGTTTGTGGGTCAGATTCTAGATTATAAATTTAGCTCCATTGATCTTTCAGTTTATTCTTTTACTGATAGTGCACTCTGTTAAATTACTCTAACTTTGGAATAAATCTTTATATCCACTAGTACATCAGTTTGTACTTCATAATAAATTACCTCAAATTTTACAGGTAAGAACAACACAAATTTATTATCTCACAGTTTTTGTGGATAAGGAGTCTGGAAATAGGTTATCTAGATCCTCTTGGGCGTAAGGGCGTAAGTGTCACCTGGGTTCCCTTCCATACATATATGGCAGAATTTATTTCTACATAGCTCTAGAACTCAGAGTAGCCTGCTTCTTTCAGATCAGTAGAAGAATGTCTCCGATATTTTACCCTCTTTAAGTGACTCACATGATTAGGTCAGGCCCACCCAAGGCAATCTCCCATTTAGATCAGAGTCAGCTGATTAAGTGATCTTAATTATACTTGCCAAACCTGTTTTGTCATTGAATATAACATAACACAAGGAACACAATATCACAGGAACACAAGTCTCTCCCACTTAAGAGAAGATTATATCAGTGTGAGGCTCTTTGGAGGTCATCTTGGAATTCTGTCTACGTCATTGTGAGTTTACTCATTTTGTTCTCCAAGATGGCTTTGGTTATTCTTGGTCATTTGAGTTTCTTCATAAGTTTGAGAATGAACTTGTCAGCTTCCACAGAAATATCTGCCAAGATTTTAATTCTGATTGTCTGGATTTAACCAATCGTTCTGATTTATAGGCTAATTTGGGGAGAAATTAGGTTTTTGTAATATTGAGTTATCCCATCCATGAATATAGTGTATTCATTTATTCGGGTATTCCTTGTTTATTCTCAATAATACTTAAAAACTTTCTGGGTAATAGTCTAATCTTTTCCCTGTTAACTAGTTTTTAATATATGACATGAGCATTTATTAGCTGTTTGTTTTGATAACCTGGGAATGATACGTCTCTGTCTCTGCCTGCTTATGTCTGTTTCTTGCAATATTTTCCACAGTGGTCATCTCCTAAGTGGGTCATATATAACCCAGGGACTGTGCAAGAGTCTGTTCAGTTATGGGAAGAAAATACTCAGATGCCTCCCTACATTTATTTTAATCCAAAAAAAAGAATGGAGAAATCTAATGTACGGTGAAATGAATATAGACAGTAATACCATATATTATCATTAGATAATGTGGTAAATAGAGCTATGCCGGCAATCATTATAATATATAGGTGTATCAAAGTTACACAATGTTACGTGCCAAATGTATTCAGTTGAAAACAATAAAAGTGACAGAAAAAAACTAATGAGGAAACTTAATATATAGATTCACATTATAAGTTGACAATCCTATGAAAGAAAGATTTCTTAGAAGAGTTACCAAATATTTTGGATGCCCCTATTCTACTGGAGTTACGTCCAGAATTGCTCGTACCACGTTCCCTGAATACCACTATAGCTCTTTATCTTCTCAGAGTCCCAACAGTACTCCCCTGTGTGTTCATTGTTACTGCTTTCACTACATATTTTGGACATATACGTGGTGATGCTGTTGCCCGAGTTTCATGAATGATACTCTGTTATCAGTGAAACCCACCCCAGTAGCAGGAGTAGAACTTTTCTCCCCTCTGTAACCTCCATCTACATCGTGCATCTTTTTCCTGTAGTAACATCTCATCGCAGTTACATGCTTACACGTTTATGTGTGTTTGTCATATTATGTGCTCCTTGAGGACAGTGACGTGGTGTTATTGGTCTTTAGATTCTCAGAGTAGGAGAGGTCTTTATGGCACGTAGGCACGTACCACGACCCCGGTAACTTAGCACAACGGTGAGGACCTTTTCAGTCAAGTGCACAAGTAGACATGCCATAACACATTTTCTAATTGCCTGTGAATGGCGAACTCCCTAACGGTTCTCTGACAGCTGTTCCATGCCTTCCAGTTCTGATTACTTACACTTGAACACAAATGTGCTCTTTCAGGGATCCTTATCATTTGAGGATGTGACTGTGGGCTTCTCCCAGGAAGAGTGGCAGCACCTGGACCCTGCCCAGAGGACCCTGTACAGGGACGTGATGCTGGAGAACTACAGCCACCTTGTCGCAGTGGGTAAGGGGTTGTTTGCCATGTAGACTGCTAGTATGCACATCCTTTCTTGATTTGAAACCTGTAGAAGCTTTGTTGAATTTAGTGATATGGAGGCTTGATACTCAAGTATTAAGGGGAAGGATTGTTGAAACACCATAAAGAATGTTTTCTTTTTCGGGGCTCCTGGGTGATTTAGTCGGTTAAGCGTCTGACTTTGGCTCAGGTCATGATCTCACGGTCTGTGTCAGGCTCTGTACTGACACCTCAGCCTGGAGCCTTCTTCGATTCTGTGTCTCCTTCTCTCTCTGCCCCCTCCCCCCCCAAATAAAAAAACATTAAAAAAAAAAAAAGAATGTTTTCTATTTCAATGAAAGATTGTATTTGGCCCCTGAAGCTTCGTTTTCTGTGTTCTTCAAAGGCCCTGAAACCCATGGGCCTAGCCCAGTTGCCATGTCGTTTCCCATTCACAGGGTGCTGCGTCCCTAAACCAGACGTGATCTTCAGGCTGGAACAAGGACAGCAGCCATGGCTTATAGAGGAAGAGTCCCTAGACCAGAGCTGCCCAGGTGAGTTAGTATGTGTTAAACGGATGGACACCCGATGGCATGGTATGAATTCCTTTTATTCTCAGGTGTTTGCTTGTATGTTCATTTTCACATTCAGCAAATACTGAGTACCCACTGTGTGGCACGAAGGTTTTAGGTGCCAGAAATACTTCAGCAAACTAAATTTGTTCCTCACTTCGTGGACCCTGCATTCTGATAGGGAGAGAAAGATAAGAAACAAACAACAGTTCATACGTAACACGCAAACGCAAAATATGCCAATAAAATAGCGAGGAAGTTAAAGATGAAAACTAATGAAATGTTATACTTGAGAAAAGAGGTTCAGGAAGGCACTTGAGTGATATCAACTTGAATGGAATGAGGTGAGGATTATGGATGGCAGAGGAGACATTAAATGTCAGTCCACCGAGGCAGGAATGTGCTTGGTGTTTTTGAGGACACACACGTGTCACTGTGGACTAGGGGGAATGAGTGAGCAGAGAGTGGTAAGAGTTGACATTGTGGAGGTAACGGAGCTCAAATTACATAGGGCCGTTCAGGCCATGATAAAGACTGATTTTATACTGAGTCAAATGAAAAGCCATTGGTAGGATTTTACCTACTAAGCAACATATGCCTATTTTTCTTTTAACTTTTCTCTCTGGCCACTGGGCAAAGAAAATACTACTGGGGCAGAGGGATGAAAGGGAGACCAGCAGGACAGTACTGCAGTCTCTGAGGAGGGGGGATAGGTTACCCCCGGTTGGGAGTGGCGGAGAAGAGTAGCCATGGTTGGCTTCTGGTTATGGTTTGAAGGTGGGACCTATAAGATGTGCTGTGAGTTGGATGAGGAATGTGAGAGAAAGAAAGGAGTCAGCAACTCCAAGGATTTCATCCAGAGCAATTGGATGAATGGGTACCGGTTGCCAAGATGGGGGGAGATTGGGGAGAAGCAGTTTAGAAGTCATAGGAGTTTAGACTGCACATACCAAGTTTCAGGTGATTATAAACTGTCCAGGTTTACCTGGGAGTAAGTAAGCGACTGTTTGAGCAGAGGTAGTTTAGGGGAGACCCCAGGTTGGAGATGATTTATTTGGAAACTATCAATTTATGGTAGTACTTAAAGTTTTTAAATTTAGTGTCTGAGCCTAAGGGACCAGACAGCCTCTCCTTAGAGGTACCAATGAACAGATCTGAGAGGTCTGAAGACTGTCCCCTGGGCTACCAGCTTTCAGAAGTCATTAAAATGAGAAAGCTCAGTGAAGAGAGAAAAGCAGTTTGGGGAGAAGGTAGAAACAGAGAATGTGGCGTCCTGTAGCCAAGTTAAGACAGTTTTCAAAAACAAAATGAACGTTTTGAAGAATATGTAACGTCAGCCTTTTTTCTCTCTCTGCTCACAAACCATCCAGAAGCATTCAGGAAAATGAACCACATACACGTCACTATGACACGAGAGGATATCTGAAATCCCAAATCAGTACAGGTGTAAACGGTGCGAAATTGGACAAATCAAGGAGCGTGTGTATCAGCAGGCGGGTAGAAAACAAAGCATTTCTGATGCTCCGGGGGACTGGCACAGTGCTTTTCGTGAACAGAGTGCGTAGTCTGAGGTGTGAAACGTAAAACTTAGATTAACAGCAGTGCTGTGCCCTAGATGGCTGAGCTCCCTCGGATGCAGTTTGCTTCTGCCAAGCAGATGTAGTAAAGTGTAGAAACGAAACATATCTTCCAGTAGCCTCTTCTGTTTCTGTGATAGCGCAAGAGAGGCTTTACGTCTGGGAAAACCGCCTCACAGACGTCTAAATGTGGAGAGAGAATCTTACGCGCTCTTAGCGGGTACTTGCAGGACACAGGATTTGAAGCAAAAACTCACTCGGTAACAACTGGTAAGGATGTGCAGACCTTCTACAAAAATGAGGGAAGCGGTTAGGAGGAAAGGAAAGTTCCAGACGGCAGTTGCCTTGGTGACCAGAGCTCTGTAATTAGCACATCGGGTCGCTCGGACCAACAGGGTATTGTCAGAGTCTTCATGTGAACCGCTGTGTCCCAGAGCGGCGTGTCGGAGAGGTGGAAGGGAGAACGATGGATCTGTGGTCTTCTTCCTGTTCTCCCTTATTAGATGCAATTGTTCTGTAGAGGTTTAACTACCTTACTTTTCTGGATTGCATCAGACGGTTTGTCTGGGCAGATGCTGGGGCCCCAGAGCCTCCGTGGGTCCAGTTCGGTTACCGGAGCACGTAGTTTCTGGAAGTCAGCTCGACACCCGCCGTTCCTCACTCTGGAGCGACAGCAGTGCCAGCCCAGTGACCCGACGCAGGGATCACCAAGAGAGAAGCCGCTGCCAAGGCCGCTCTGGCTACGAAGGAAGGCAGGGTTTGGCTGATCTATAAACTGAGTCCAGTACATGTGCAAAATGCTTGTTCATAAGGAATTACCTCATCAGCCTAAGACGTGACTCTCTTCCCTTCTCTCGAGTAAACCTTGTGCAGCGTGCTGTTCCTTACAAAGCTCACCTCCTTTCAGCCTGAGTAATTGAACAGGAACCAGCACAAAATACATACAAAACTGTTGCAAGAAAAAAGGGAGGACAAAGATTGGCAAGAAAGATAGTAGGTGATTGAACTGTCATTTGATCAAAGTAGTCATAAAGTAGATAAATAGTGTGACCAAATATTAAATAATGAGTTTCAAAAGAGAGAACTAATGGAATTAATTACCTCTGTGATACAAGTTTTTTTTTTTATTTTATTTTTTTTTAACTTTTATTTATTTTTGAGACAGAGAGAGACAGAGCATGAACGGGGGAGGGGCAGAGAGAGAGGGAGACACAGAATCGGAAGTAGACTCCAGGCTCTGAGCCATCAGCCCAGAGCCCGACGTGGGGCTCGAACTCACGGACCGCAAGATCGTGACCTGGCTGAAGTCGGACGCTTAACCGACTGCACCACCCAGGCGCCCCTGTGATACAAGTTTTTAAGAAAGATGTTAATAGAAAACAAATTGTGGGGTGTCAAAGTCAGAAAAGAATTGAAACAAAAAATAAAATCACAGTCAAGAAAGGAAATCGGAGGAATCGTGAGAAAGAACAGATAGTGTTGAAATTACACTCAGAAGGAAGTGAGACATGCGAGCGAGAAGCAGCTGAAATGAGTCCTGAAGGTTAGAGCTCACCTGCATGCTCTGCCTACAGTTCGTCCCCCAATGGGAAAGTAAAGGAAATAGAACAAATATTTAAAATAACCCAGGAACACTTTTTGTGGGGGGGGGTTGGAGGGAGAGGTGCAATTGAATCTGTATACAAGGGCCAGTCGCATCCACATTAGGATAGATTCTAATAAAGGGACGGGATTTCAAAAACAGAGAGTCAATTTGATAACCAGCCAATATGAGAGAAAGTCCAACTAGCTTCAGACTTTTCCATAGGTAAATCTGTAGGTAAGAATTAGCACAGCAGTTCCTACTAAATCCTTAGTGTGTTCCATTGACAGTATTATACCCATTTAAGAAGATCTTCTTTTTTTTTTTTTTTAAATTTTTTTTTTTCGTTTATTTATTTTTGGGACAGAGAGAGACAGAGCATGAACGGGGGAGGGGCAGAGAGAGAGGGAGACACAGAATCGGAAACAGGCTCCAGGCTCTGAGCCATCAGCCCAGAGCCCGACGCGGGGCTCGAACTCACGGACCGCGAGATCGTGACCTGGCTGAAGTCGGACGCTTAACCGACTGCGCCACCCAGGCGCCCCAAGAAGATCTTCTTTAATGAGGAACAAATCTTTTTCGAATAGGCAAGAACCCTAGGATCATTGTTCCTGGAAGCCTCTATTAGAGAATGAGTATCGGGTAACCAAGGAGTGACAGAAAGAAAGCATGGTGAAAAGACTGGTGGTGGGCTTTGAATTTAACTGAAGAACTAATTAAAGCAATTGTGGGAGCTAGCTGACAGAAGAGAATGTACCAGTTGCAAATCTGGGCAACACAAAGGCTGGGTGTCTGTGTAGATAAAAGGAGGCTAAAAACAAGTGGAGAGCAATGAAGGTGTACGAATACACCTGTTATAACACGATATGTGCATTCCTGAAAAATCACTGCTCCATATGAAGCAGTAAACTAAAAGTCACTGGGCTGATGGCAAGATGGGATTGGGGCTAGAACACTCAAAAGCTTTGTCAGTGACACAGTGAGATAGCACCGTTCGAGTCTCCAGCTAGAATTTTGTATTCATTTATTTCTCCTTTCAATTCTGTTAGGTTTTGCTTTATCTATTTAAAGATTTATTATTGGGGCGCCTGGGTGGCTCAGTTGGTTAAGCGTCGACTTCGGCTCAGGTCATGATATCACGGCTCATGGGTTGGAGCCCCGCGTTGGGCTCTGTGCTGACAGTTCGGAGACTGGAGCCTGTTTTGGACAGTGGATCCCTCTCTCTCTGCCTCTCCCCTGCTTGTGCTCGCTCTCTCTCTCTCTCTCTCTCAAAAATAAACATTAAAAAAACTTTTTTTAAAGAATCATTAAGAATTATTATTAAGTGTATAAATATAAGGATTTTTATGTTCTCTTGATGAGATGACCCCGTTATGATGATGTCTCTATCTCTCGTAGAACTTTTTGCTCTGAAGTGTGCTTTGATATTCATACACCTACTCCACAAATCCTAGGTAAGCCATTTATTAGCTTAGACAAGTCACTTAACCTCTGTGAGCCTCTGTTTCCTCATTGTATATTTCAATAGTAAGACCTTTGTCACAATACGTACGAGCATCAGATGAGGCAAGGTACAAATCACAGTGCCTTGCTAAAATAGGCATTCAGGAAGTTTACACCTCCAGCTAACATTTAACTAATGCTCTCCTAAAAGCTTGGGATACATCAAAGATACATCAAGGATTCTGCTTTCGTGGAGCTTAGATTCAGGAGGGAGGCATAGAGGTAAGGACCATAGACGAAGAAGTAGACAATAAACAAGGGTGCAAATAATTTAATCTTATAATTTCAGGTCATGCTGAATGTTATGAAGGGTTTTATTT